TTAAATATATCACAACCCATTTAAATATAATTACAACCTATTTTAAATATATACAACCCATTTTAAACATATTACAACCTACTTTCTTACCGTTAACTTTGTTGCAAGACCAAGAGAAATAAACATGTAAATAATACACATAAGGCAAGCACTGGCATGTATCCAGCCACGTGCTTGCATATGTATGTATGTGTGCGTGCGTGTGTGCGTATGCGAGCAACAGACGCACATGTCTTTTATTTACAGAGACAGTTTTCTTTTCCGATATTTTTTATAATTCATTTATTTATTTTTTGAGAATATCTATGAAAGTTTTTTTTTGTGTGTGTTTTATGCATGCACGTAGATACAGGAACGCAAGCATAGTTATATTAAGCATAAATACACACACACACATAATACCACACACAAAAACGTTCACAACACACACACACAAGCGTTCACACACACCACACACACACACACACTCAAACGCTCAACAACACACACACACACTCAAACGCTCACACACACACACACACAAACGTTCAAACACAAACACACACATACACAAAAAAAAAACACTCACAATCCACGCACAAACACACAGAAACATACATACACACACACACAGACAAACACACACGCAAACGCTCACAATACACAAATTCAACCACAACATTAACATACACACACACATAGACACAAACATAATAAACACACACACATAACACAAAAACAGTTATACACAATCGCAAAAAAACAGTCACGCAGAGACAAACAAATACAAACAAACACACCCACACATCTACTTGCACAAGCCCGCCCACCCCAAGGTGAACAACGCGCCCAACTTATCGTTTAGCTAAAATTACAATATTACGGTTATTAAGACGGCCGTGAGAACAACACGCCGACGAATCCTTCCCTGTGTATGTGAAAGGCGGATGCAACTTGTGTGTTAGTGTGAATGTGTGTGCTGATAATATATATATTATATACTACATACACCCCTAATTATATACTAAACCTACTACCAACCAACTCACCTATAACCTATATATACTCCTACATAACCTCACAAGCTACTCATATTCCAATAATATTATCATCATGCTATGTAATTGACATATTCTACTATACCCGCTAATATACCTATAACCTATTATATATATATATACATTAACACTATATTGCTATGTATGTATGTATATATAATATATATATTAACATAATAATATATATGCTAATGATATAACATATAAACAAGCTATACCTATACTAGATATATAAAAATAACTCAATAATAAAATATATATAAATACTATAAACTCTCTCACTCGCTCTATGATATGTATACAAAACAAATAATTATACTAATATATATATAAATATATAACACACATAAAAATAAATCACTATAATGTATACCTCTACCATATGTAACTTGATAATAATTAAAATATTACTGTATATCATACAATATACCATACTATATATTACAATATAACTCCACGCATACTATACCTACACTACACTACACTTACTATACCCAATACACATCAAACAATCAATCATACATACATACCATACATACATACCACTACATACCATATAATACCATCACCACATCACCGTACATACATTATCCATAACACTAATCATACATACACACAAACTACTCACTAGCCAACCATACTATATTATATATATATATATATTATACCTACCTACCTACACCCTAATATTAATAATACATATATAATATATATATATATATATAACGTAACACATCTCACTACTATAAACCTATATATGCAAACACAATACCGTCCGTTCGATAATATGGAAGAAAAAAACCAAATGCAACAACACTGATTTATTGATGTCTCACTTTTCTATACATAAATCTATTTGTGCCATTGTGGGTTTTTATCCTCAACCTACAATCAACTCACTATACCACATATATAATCACCCTAACTATATATATATATATAATTATACATATATGTATATCTATAATTATATAATATACATTATTATACAAATAAATATAAATTTCAATTATATAAACACTATAATACCTAACTATAGCTATAAACAATACTAATACCAATAACACATATATATTTCTAATACTATATCAAATACATATATATATAAATTCATATAATCACTATATATATACAATCATAAAACACATAAATACAGACTATACCCAAAACTGAAACTATATACCTACACACCAATTAATAAATATACAAAAACTATAAGCTCTATATATATGATATATATATGTATATAATATATGTATATATTATGCATATACTTATATATGTACTATATATCACCTATTATATTGAACGAGTATACTACAATTAATAACTGCTCAAACAATATATATGCCATAACACATATATACTGTCTACATACTATACACACTGATACTTTAATATCACTCGCATAGTAATACAATAAATATGAATAAAATATACTAATCCTACTAACACAAACAACT